ACTTAGGCAAATTTTTCATTCATTGATTCATTCATTCATTTACCTTTCATCACCGTGGGAACCTTTTCCCTTAAACAGAAGAGCAGCCATAAAATCAGGAAAAATGGTAAAAGAAATCAGCAAAAAATATGTAAAAATCAGAATATTGCTTAGTAAGGTGGGGAGGCTTTGTTCAGGGTTCAGGGTCAATATCTAAATATAGAAACCACCTAAAAGTTGCCAGAAAATCAGAAAAAAATACCCAAAAATTAAGAGTGATCTTCTCTGTTGCCATGGTGTTGAAGGGGCTGTGTCCATATCCAAATATGGAAAATCAAGACAACCATGTAAAAATATTGTCAGATCATGCAATGTGACTATATCTTGAGACCAGCTTTCTTGCTCTTTGAGATATTGGTCAAAAATGCATGACAATTTCCAAAAAGTGTCCAATTTTTTCAGTATTTTGTGTTTTTCTCAATGAGGAATGGTCTGCATGACATTATTTATATATATCTATAAAGGTAAGGAAAGGGGCTACAATTGTTGTTTATGGAGCTAAGTGAGAGGCTGTGCTTCTGATACCGTGGGAATTTTAACCCAAAAAAGGAAATTCATCACAAATATATAGAGCATGCTATTATAGGTCACAAAATATAACTAACCATCCTCTTTCCTGAGATATATGCAAACAGGACTGTGGGAATATTTTACCATAAACAGAAAAATAGTTATAAAATTGGGAAAATTTGCTATAAAATGAAAAAAAAAAAAAAAAAAAAAGAATACCACACATTGTTGCTATGATATTGATGGCTAGGCTCAGAGCTCAGGGTCTATTTGCAAATATAGAACAAAACTCAGAAAATCATAAAGTGATTACATGACCAATTTCCTAATATTAAATTTAGAGTCCACAGAAAGGACTCATACATGCCATGCAAAGCACTGGCCCACACCCACAAGTATTTATAGTTGTACATCAGATTTTCAAATGCCTCTTGTGCATCATCGTTTTGGGTGGTGGGGTATATGCCATTGTGATATAGGATTGGAAGGGAATGCCCAGAGGCCATAGTCAAACAATGGTATATAGCTAGATTTGGATATCTTACATAATATATTGATCTTTTGTCTTGAACCACCATCTTGTCAGCAGTCTTGCCATCCTCTTGTAGTGCTTTGTATATCTGTACTTCCTACAGTATGCATAATCATGTTGGGCCAGCTGAGTATCTTGTAACTGCTCATTGCTCACTTATGGGGGTTGATCCCAGATCCACCCATTCTTGCCTCCTCCTTCCCTCTTGGCTTCAGCTATGTGAGAAGTTCAGAGTGAACGCTTCACAGCCATCAAAGCTTGGGGAAATTTCTCCAATTATAGATGCCTCATGTGAGCTTGATTCCAATGTTATTGATGCTTGTTTATCAGCAGCATGCAAGATTTGAAATTACATAAATTGGCTGCTGGCTGTTCATCAAAACATGGATTGTCATATCAACAATGCACTGTGTAAGTTATTATTGCCCTATTTCAGTCCAGATGCATCCTGCTCATTAATTATATAACACATAATACTACAATTTAAGTGATTAAATCCTCTGGAATATTACCTTTTTTCTGCATTTTGATTGATGTAATTTGGAGTAGATATGACAGAGTTACAGTATTGTCTCTCTGAATTGTTGGTATAACCTGGGTGATGACATGCCAATTATGTAAAACATACTCCTAAATTTTACATAATCGAAATGCATGAAATTCAGGGTAGATCTGGCAGAGTTACAGTATTTTCCTTTGGAATTGCTAATATGACCTGCAGTGATGACGTCACGAGGATCTCTTGTGCCTTGCAATGACGCACGAACATTTCCCATCAATGCGATCGGGAAACGTTTGTGTGTCATCATTTTCCTTGGTGTGTCATCACTTAGTCATCATTTTTAGCGAAAATGAAGATTTACCTGTAGTTCTGCCAATTCTGGTCCAAATGACATGTTTTTTTTTGTGGTATGCACTCCTTAATTGCAGAACTATTCTAAAATGACAATGGATGTAGACAAATACAAATAAACAGTCCACAATTCAAAAAATTCAACATTTTCAATGTATTTTTGACACTCATGATTATGTTTGTATGACCATGGTTTGAAAATATTACAAATATATTTATAGATTCTACCAAATACTTCCAAATATGTATATACCCTTCATCACATGTTGTTGCTTACTCATCTCTTTGGGGCTAAAGTAAAGAATTCTCTGTAGCTCTGCGAACTCTGGTCCAAATGACATGGTTTTTTTTGAGCAGTATGCACCCCTTAATTGCAGAACTGTTTTAAAATGATAATGGATGTATACAAATACAAATAAATAGATCATAATCCAAAACATTCAACATTTTCAATGTCTACTTTATGCTCATAATCATGGTTTACAGATTCTACGAAATACTTCCAAATATATACATACCCTTCATCACATGTCATCACTTAGTCATCTCTTTGAGCTGAAATAAAGATTTCTCCACAGCTCTGCCAACTCTGGTCCAAACGACATGGTTTTTCTTGCAGTATGGAGTCCTTATTTGTAGAATTATTCTAAAGTGACAATAAATGAAGACAAATACAAATGAATAATTTGAAAAACGAAATGTTCCACACTGTTGATTAGGCTCATGACCAACTGTTTCTTTCAAACTCTGCAGGCTACATTCAGAAATGGCTGGGCCGAACAGATTGAGTCTTGTCGAGGTCACATTTTGTGACACGGGACTTAGTGAAATTGCATCAAATTGGTATGTCTGCTCTGTATTGACCGTCATCTGCCTTCGACCTCATCACTCCCGTCCCTCGTCGTCTGTCCAGCCTGCATCCCCTTCACCCTCGTCACTATCCAACTCATCTGTGTCAACAAATTCTTCATCTTCAACCACAATCTTGTCTACTTATATCTCCTCTGCCACCCTGCTCTCAACGTCCTCAAGAACTTTGTCAATTTCGCTTGTTTCGTCTGTGGCTGGCCCTTCCTCAAATTCTTCCTCATCGCCTTCAGCTGCTGGAATTGAAGGAATTGCAGGTGGGAGTGGAGGCTGTGTTGGGAGTGCTGTGGCCTGTTCAGGGTGTCATTCGAGAGCAGCAAGCGATACTGGTTTCATCTTCCGTCATGTTTGAAGCCTTTTGAAGGCTGCGTTATACTTGTTTCCATTATTCTACCCTTATCTGTATCCTCCACCGCCACCACCACCAGCACCACCAAGTACCTAATTATTTGTGTCAAAGGGCTTCCGTTTTTTTGTTTGTTTTCCAAATCTATGACATTCACGTTACTTTTACTGGTGGTGCACAATCCTTGGTATGTGACACGACCAGTAACATGCTGTGACAGAGCATCACAGGCCCAATTTCTTGAGACATTGAGTTTGTACTTTCCACATCACCAATTCAATAGATGTTTTACAATGAATACAATGATATTAAGTGAATGAATCCACTGGGAGAGTTTTATATGAAATTATTGTATTTATTATTCCAAAAATGCGAAATCAGCCTGTTCTCCCTGCCAAATGTGGCAGTCTGGAGAGATTGGACTATAAATTTTCAACCACAGCATGTATGAACACGATTGGCAGGAGGATTTTACTTAGAATTTAAATTCCAATCGATCTATGAGTCCAGAATTTTTATTTGTGGCCCATGTGCCAAGATAGCCTTGAAAATGGGCACTTTAACATGGTTAAGGGGTAGTAATTAAAATTCTGGACTTGTAGGATTAATCGAGTTTAAACTATGTTTACTCAAGTCCAATAAGCACTGACCAAAGCTTGAGTTACACGCATACAATATAGTCATCACATTCGCCAACATGTGACTATGAGCCACTGCTCAATTGCCTGCTGGCAAACTCTACATCCATGCTTGGACTCGAGCTTCACGATCCACGCTTGATTCACAGCTTATTTTAGACTCGCACCACCAGTTGAGGAGTGAGAATTGCTACTCTTGAAGTATTTAAACTAAATGCAAGTATTGAAGGGGCTGATCATATATCCTTTTGATAATTGTGGGAGAGCCACAGTCACATATACTAGGTTCCTCTAGCCAATGCTGTAACCAATCATTGATTGATTTGTAAGTTCCATCTAAAACTGACATAACTCTTTCTGGAGGATTATCCATATCATGATTGTTGTTGCATCCAATGCATGATGACCTTCTGTAACCCAAAGAGACACTATGATCTGATGTGAAGAAATAGTAAAGTAGATCACGAATGTCAGTTCCAGTAGCTCCATCTGGAAATAATACTGGGTTATCATGTTTGAGTGATCTATGAACTTCATTTCGACTTGTGGGTGTGGGCCAGTGCTTTGCATGGCATGTATGAGTCCTTTCTGTGGACTCTAAATTTAATATTAGGAAATTGGTCATGTAATCACTTTATGATTTTCTGAGTTTTGTTCTATATTTGCAAATAGACCCTGAGCTCTGAGCCTAGCCATCAATATCATAGCAACAATGTGTGGTATTCTTTTTTTTTTTTTTTTTTTCATTTTATAGCAAATTTTCCCAATTTTATAACTATTTTTCTGTTTATGGTAAAATATTCCCACAGTCCTGTTTGCATATATCTCAGGAAAGAGGATGGTTAGTTATATTTTGTGACCTATAATAGCATGCTCTATATATTTGTGATGAATTTCCTTTTTTGGGTTAAAATTCCCACGGTATCAGAAGCACAGCCTCTCACTTAGCTCCATAAACAACAATTGTAGCCCCTTTCCTTACCTTTATAGATATATATAAATAATGTCATGCAGACCATTCCTCATTGAGAAAAACACAAAATACTGAAAAAATTGGACACTTTTTGGAAATTGTCATGCATTTTTGACCAATATCTCAAAGAGCAAGAAAGCTGGTCTCAAGATATAGTCACATTGCATGATCTGACAATATTTTTACATGGTTGTCTTGATTTTCCATATTTGGATATGGACACAGCCCCTTCAACACCATGGCAACAGAGAAGATCACTCTTAATTTTTGGGTATTTTTTTCTGATTTTCTGGCAACTTTTAGGTGGTTTCTATATTTAGATATTGACCCTGAACCCTGAACAAAGCCTCCCCACCTTACTAAGCAATATTCTGATTTTTACATATTTTTTGCTGATTTCTTTTACCATTTTTCCTGATTTTATGGCTGCTTTTCTGTTTAAGGGAAAAGGTTCCCGCAGTGATGAAAGGTAAAATGAATCAATGAATGAAAAATTTGCCTAAGTCCTCAGTTGATAAAGAATGAGTCTTACTCGTAAACTCGTAAGGACTCATAATAATCTGTCATTCCAAAATTAGGTAGAACCCAGACTTGTTGTCTTTCTATAGACTCCTTCAGATCACTAGGGAATGTACATGTAATAGTTTTAGTTCCCTTAACTAAAGGCACTACATTTTCTGGAAGCCCAGGTATTTGAAGTTGATGGTGGAAGGTCTGAAAAAAATAAAGGAACAAAGGGCGGCAACAAACCAACTCCAAAGAAGGTGTTTGTCAATATAGGCTCTCTAACAGCCATTCTTATCATAGGAGATCTGGTCTATGCAGGCATATTGCCCATGCCTTCTCCTCTTGAATGGGGTAAATTCATTGAAAAGGTGTTGAAGGGCATGTTGGATGCTATAACCATGCTTGGGCTAATTGATGAGGACACGATAGTGCCACAGGCATTTGTGGAACTTGACAAGTTTGTCAACTGTGTGTTGACTGCAGAAGAAAAGGCTGCCATGACTTATGATGTCTTGACCAGTGAACATGGTCTTTGTAAGTATAAACAGTTATACAGTAGAAAACTATAACTTAGCAGTTATTACTACTACTTTGATGTATTTCAGTATTGTTACAAATGTTACAAAAGGATATCCACAAGATATCCATCTACGTCTATGAGAGATTAAGGTAACCTAATAAGTCATCATATCTAGAGCTTTAAGCATAATTAGCTGGGTGTAAATCTTGCAATCAAATCAGGCATATCATCTGCATGAAGCAGATGTAGATATTTGACCCAACCACACTCAACTTTGCTAATTTAGTTGAAGCCCAGAAATTTATTGAGCCAATTTAGAAAAACACATCAACAATATATGGTAGTTAAGTACCAGTATTTAAAGAATTCAAAGTAGTTGAATACAATATGTAGGGGGATACAAAGCAAAGTAAATGGAAAGCAAGCACATAATTCTACTCCATAGCCTCCATCATTCTGAACACTGTGTAATCCCGGGATTACGCTTTGTTTGGCATCCATTCTAATTTTAGCGCATATTTAACTTACCATACGCTTCGCTTCTTCTTCTCTTTCTTTAGAACCACGACCATCTCTCTCTCTCTCTCTCTCTCATTACGCTACTTTTCCATACTCTCAGAATCATACACCTGGTTAACTTCTGTGAGTATCATTAAGTTCTTTGAGTGTTTTCTATCTCCTCTTCTAGGGGATAGTTTTCCACACTGGGTCATCGTGAAAGAGACTGAGAAAAGTAGGGCTATCTGAAATGTGATGTTGAGCAAGAATAAGAATGAAGATAATGATAGACTTGCAAAGTGTTTTCACTAGCAGCAAGCACTGCAACCCAAAGCACATTCATTGACAAAGATACATTGTTGGGATTTGCCTTGGAGTTATAGGAACCAATGTTATATCCAATGAGGGGGCTGTGTTCAGGGTTCAGGGTCCATATCTAAATATAGAACAAAGTAAGAAAAATGGCTAGCAAATCAGAAAAAAAAATGAGTAAAAAAAATTAAAATGATACTTTTTCTGTTGCCATATGATGTATGAGGGGCTGTGTCCAGTGTTCAGGGTCCATATCCAAATATGGAAATTTAAGACAACTATGTAAAAATATTATCATATTATGCAATATGACTATATCATCAGACTAGCCTTCTTGCTCTTTGAGATATTGGTCAAAAATGCATGACAATTTCCAAAAAGTGTCCAATTTTGTGAGTATTTTGTGTTTTTCTCAATGAGGAATGGTCTGCATGACATTATTTATATATATTTGTAAAGGTAAGGAAAGGGGCTACAATTGTTGTTTATGGAGCTAAGTGAGAGGCTGTGTTTCTGATACCATGGGAATTTTAACCCAAAAAAGGAAATTCATCACAAATATATAGAGCATGCTATTATAGGTTACAAAATATAACTAACCATCTTCTTTCCTGAGATATATGCAAACAGGACTGTGGGAATATTTACCATAAACAGAAAAATAGTTATAAAATTGCGAAAATTTGCTATAAAAAAAAGGAACAATAAGAATAGTAATTGTTGCTATGATATTGATGGCTAGGCTCAGGGCTCAGGGTCCATTTGCAAATATAGAACAAAACTCAGAAAATCATAAAGTGATTACATGTCATTGCAGCTCAGGGGATGTCAGGAGGGTGGTCACATGACCAATTTCTTAAAATTAAATTTAGAGTCCACAGGAAGGACTCATACATGCCATGCAAAGCACTGGCCCACACCCACAAGTACTTCTTTGTCTCTGCGTTGACGAGGTGAAATGAGCTGGTCATCAACAATGATTCCAAGTGTAACACACAAGGCAGGTGTCTTGCAATCCCGTATGAACACGAGAGGCCCACCCTTTGTTTGACCAGATGTCTACTTGGCGATGAGAAGTGACGGATCGATGCGAGAAAGGTTGACAATATTGGACATATAGTCCTTCTCAAACATAACCAATCCTTTGATGTACCTGTAAATCAGATGCAAATATGAGTCTCTCAGTTAGAGAAAATTTGAAAGAAGACATACTTCAGATTGATATCGGGGTAGACGCCTCCAATGCTAGAGAAGAGGATCATCCCATTTCCATCATCATCTTCTTGGTCGTTGTTGTCCTTCCATGATATAAATTTCAAGCCACTAGATTTATAAGGTTCAAGTAAGATGTATAAGGACACATTATACTTATTGATAACTTGCCTAGGCAGCTTGGTCAACTTCTTATATGTCTCCTTAAGAAGAGGGTCAACAAGATCAGAAGTGGCAACTCCACATTTAGACAACTTCAGATAACTTGGGTAAGTTCAAGTAAAAGAATAGAAATAATTGCCTAGGGGAAGGATCACAATCAATGTCTTCTAAATAAACAGTCTTTTCACTGATAATGGGTTAACATGGGTTGAAAGTAAAAAAAAAATCAATAAAGCACAAACCCGCCATCTGTCTTGTCACCATCGGACATGACCTCATCCTTGTCAAAGACATCTGGAGCAGTTTTCTTTTTCTTCGACTTTTCAATGCTCGCTTTTGTCTTCAACCTGATTAAAATTGAACATGGGCACTGAATAACTTCAAAACATACACAGAAGTGTCGAAGATCACTGA